CCTCGAACAGTCTCCATGAAGATACTATATGCTAGAGGAGAGCCGCCCCTCGAACAGTCTCCATGAAGGTACTATATGCTAGAGAAGGTAGAGCAGTCCTCGAACAGTCTCCATGAAGGTACTATATGCTAGAGGAGAGCCGTCCTCGAACAGTCTCCATGAAGGTACTATATGCTAGAGGAGACGCCCTCGAACAGTCTCCATGAAGGTACTATATGCTAGAGGAGAGCCGTCCTCGAACAGTCTCCATGAAGGTACTATATGCTAGAGGAGAGACGTCCTCGAACAGTCTCCATGAAGGTACTATATGCTAGAGGAGAGACGTCCTCGAACAGTCTCCATGAAGGTACTATATGCTAGAGGAGAGCCGTCCTTGTTGCACAGCAGCGGCTGTGATGATGAAAAGTTTGTATGATGCTGCAATAGACGTTCCATAGCCGTCGCTGGATTCAAGGGGTGTTTACCAGTATCTGGTAGAAATACGTCCAACAGCCTGTCTCGGAACTGCAGCGTCTTAGTCCTTTTCAGGGACACGATATCCCCTCTGCTTCTTAAACACATCAAGTACAGTTATGTGCTTACAGGGATCAAAGTTTGATCCACACAAAAAGTTTCCTGGGCGCAACATTCCATAGAAGCCCAAAACACACGCTACCCACACAGATGAGCCACACAATGTCAGTAAGTTCAGATTATTCTTTAGAATTAACAAGTGTTCGGGGGTGATCGGAGTGGCACCAGACTGGGAGTCTCCCAATTCCCGTTTGACTCCTTTTAGTTTAGCAAGTGATATATACGCCAATCTGCTGACATTGGATCTTCAAGGCCACTTGCCTTATGTAAATTTGTTACAGCACACAAATACTGTATAATTGAGGAGTATTTCATCTTCTTGATATCTACTATAAAAGCCACATATATAGAGACACATGTTCACAAGTCATGGGCACTGGTTGTAGACCTGTAATATCACAGAAATTCAGTAGGCACTTCAGCTGAGTCCCCCTGCGACATAACTCCGACCACCCCTGCGGCGTAAGGCGAGAGACTGCTTCCCCATCTAGAAGCAATAAAATCATCAGATATATGGCAACGTGATAAATGTACATCAGAGTTAAACAAGCAAAACCTGTAGTAACAAGTCAAAAACTTCAGACAATCGGCCTGGTTCATGCAGTCTGGAAATATAGTCTGCTGAAGTGTTTTTATGACCTGGAATGTAATCTGCACAAAGAGAGAAGTTTAAGCTCGCTTTTAGCGTTCATAACTATTGGTATTTTGCATGACCCTTTGTTTATAAAGGCCTTTGCCACTTGATTGTCAGTCTTTACAACTATTTTCTTATTCTGCCAGTCATGACACCATCTACTCACAGCCAGTATGATGGCGAGAGTCTCCTTAACGTTGATGTGAAGGTCACTTATCTCTCTCATGTCCGCTTTCCAATTGACATAGAAGTCCCCATTATATTGACCTCCAGCACCTTCATTGCATGCATCCGTGAACACACTCTGTACAGGGCGTTTGTCTAAGAACTTAGTTGTGCCGTTGTATTGCTTCAAATAACACAACCACCAATCAACATCAGCATGAAAGTTATCATCCCGTTTGAATTTTCCATGTTGAGACTTAATAGCATTCTTCAGATCTAATACACAGCGCAAGCATGTGCACCCACCCTGAATGACCATCTAATACTTGCCCAACTTAACTGTCCGACCAATCTTTCTAGCTGCCGCCTACTGGCCCTGGTTCTCTTAGAGAAGGAGTCGATTTCTTGGTAGAATGAATGCAACTTATCCTGTTGGAGGGATAATGTACAACATTGTGTGTCAATAACAATTCCAAGGAACACAATGCCCGGACACGGCCCATCTACCTTGTTCCAGTTTATCATAAATCCGAGTTTACGTAACAAACCAAATAAACGAGATAGAGCTTAAGAACATTCCTCAAGTGAGTCCCAGATAATGAGGAAATCGTCAATATACGCAATAACATCCACATTATATTGTTTTTTCATTATTCGATACACAGATGCACTCAAAGTTTGGAAGATTCGACAACTCTTAGATGCACCGAACGGAAGTTTCCTGTCATACATGTATGTTATATCAGACCCGCCCTCGAAGAGCCAGTATAATCCTGTAAACACGTAATTACTGGGGTGTATGTTGACAGATCTGTAAACGCTCTTTAAGTCCACTTTTGCTAGGTAACTGCCTGTCTTGATTTTTTGAGGGCATGTCTCAGGTCCATATACTCACACTCACAATCTACCATATAACTGTTCATACCTGTATTGTGCGGAACACTTCCATCGTGTATCAAACGAACATTACCATTGTCTTTAGAGATTGCACCCAAAGGGCTCACAATTGTGGGTTTGGAATTGGATATCACATAATTACCCAATGACAATTCTTCTTTAATCTGTTTTTCTGTTTCCTGACAATTTGTTATATGTAAACACTCCACGTAATGGAATGGTCCGCTAATTTAAATCCATATTTCACACCTGACAAAATATAATCTCTATATGGGTCATCTTGTGGTAACATGAGATTCCAAGCCTCATATTTTAGAGTGTTTATTGGGTTTGGTGAAAGTTTTTGATTCATGGTCAGCACTCCTACCCTCTGAGTGACCACTGTTGTGGCCAGGCAGGCTTCTGAAAATAGGAGCACCTGCATTGTGTTGGTGGGCAGAATGACCTGTCAGTTGACAGATACTGCATACATGTGCCAGTCTCCACCACTCTCCTTGCATACAACGACTGTAGTTGAATCGTCGACAAATTTCTCTACTGTCATTTGTGAACGGATCACGTGATCTCTGGCGTCGATTTGTGTTGCTTTCACGTGCACGATTCATTTGTTTCATAGCCCTCTCCGTGCTTGAATTTCGTTTCGGCCATAACTGAAAGTCACGTATTTCTTGATAAGGTGCTCCCCACTGAAATCCTTCAGCATACCGTCTCTCACGGTACTCATTATCATACAAAAGTACACTGGCCCACTCGTACTTCGATGCTAATCGTGAGATGTCCTGCATGTATTTCAGGTACCCCATAACACTGGGCATGTCAAGTTCGCTGGCATTTATCATGTCCTTTAGCACACCAATACTGGCATAGATCCACCTTTCCGGGGACAAGTGAGACAACTGACCCAAAACACCCGATTCTTTTATGTTGTCAAGGTCAAGGCCTAATATAATGCCATTGCCAATACGAGCAGCTTTTCTGTCAATATTATGGAGGGAATCTACCCATGAGTAGTCTGTTAATTTTCTTAGTTTAGTATTCTTCTTACCCGAAACAGGTTCTGAAGCATGTATATTGCCTGCACCCTGAGCCACTTGACTGCCGTCGGCATCTCACTGGCCACCATCTTGTTTGGCTGCGTCGCGTTGCCGCGTAGATTAACTAACTTCCAACTCTTGTCTAAGGCGCTCCACTTCCTTCGCCAGAGTAACACTCTTAGCTTCCAACCTGAGACGTTTCATTTCGTTTCTAATTCGGCACATTGCAATTTCGAGGGCGTGTGTGCTCCGTTCCATGTTGTTGGCTGATGCATGATGTAATGGCGGGCTACCAGACGACATGGTTTGCCTAGTCTGCGGTGAGAGAACGTTAGTAGACGTCCGTGGAGAAGGTTTTAGTGACTCTAGGGCTTCCATCATCTTTAGTCCAGCTTTCTGGCATTTCGGTTTCACGTCGGTTTGCTCTGAAACCTCTTTTGATGACATTTTCAATACAATTTATCGCTGCTCCGTGATGTGATGTTGAAAGCCTGACACCGTGCGGGCGCTGACGTTAATATAAGGGAGATAACTGCAGCCATACTGTTGTGGAAGCAAGGGACGTTACTTGTACCATCTCGTAATCAAAATCTATTTTACTTTGTAAAATATGACATTGAGAATTAAATTAGGAAACAGGGTATGAAGTAATGTGTGTTGTGATGTCAATTTAATATGCATTTAATTGGTTTAAGGGTAAATGTCACTCTTTAACATCTTCAGTGTAAAATCGACTTCAAAAGTTCTAAGTGTATGCAACTTCATTGAACAAACCTTGACAGTGGTCATGGTGACAGGTTAATTGTATTGATAAAGAGAAAGAAACCCTTTAATACTGTGTAATTAGAACATAGAAATATTGGAAATTAGAAGTAACTTTAGTTTCATTCTGTCAATGACTGTAATAGGCAGGCCTATACTTGCACAGGGCTCCAGATAATTTTTGGACATCAGGAGTATGTACTCCTTATTTTTCAGTATAGGAGTACTAGAAAAACTTAAGAGTACATTTAGAGTACTGAAAGGGATTTATTGGAGTGTGACTGCGATAAGACGAACAAGTGATATTGGTAAACAGTTCCTTCATTATTCGTACAGCAATTTGATTACTTGACCCTTTACAAGTCGTCAGATCACAGTCTTGTTTCTAAAAGAAACTTGTGATTTGATTCCGCGCCGCCATGTTTTAATACACATGCACAATTTTGGCCAATCAAATTTAACTGAGATGATTCGCTGTGGTACAATTCCCAAAACATGGCAAGGGAAACCACAATATGTATATATCACGTAAATTCAAATGTGGGACACTGCTTGATATCAGATTGATATGTTTTAGATAAATACGTCTGTAAACGATTCTAAGATCGTACACCATTGCTGTGGTGCGTATCTGCTACGTTTTCTAAATTATTTCCTACCATATTGTGCATACGTCGATACGGTCCTTATCTGGAGCCCTGCTTGCATTGAGATGTTGAAGTGTGTATTGACTTGTATTTTTGATGTACCTAACCTTCACAGAAGCACTAAATGCGTGACCTTATCTGAAACTAACTCTCAGGCCTTGCCTAATGACTGATAATGGTCTTGAGTGCAGTTAAGATTGCAAGGCACTGACCCTTATTCTTCTTGCTTATGAAAATAAATGTGTTTTTGATGAGATTATGTTGAAGATGAAACTGCTTTGTTCACAGGTAATGTGTGTAGCTAATGGTGGTGTGCCCTGTCAGCAGAAACGCCACCTATCTGTCCATGAATACATGAGCTTTGGCCTATTACGAGAGGCAGGAGTGGCTGTGCCAGCCTTCAGGGTTGCCCAGACAGCAGATCAGGCATATGACTTTGCCAAAGAGCTGGGTGAGCACAATACACATGTTTCCCGATGTAGCAAACTTGCACATACAAGAGTTAATTTATATATTACTTATTCCAATTGAATTGTACTTATTCCTGAGATATTGCATTCAGGGTTGAATACTTTTGTGGGTTTATAGTATTTAGGAGATAAACATAGTGTGTTGGAAAATAAGAGATATAGAATGAAATTATAAGAGCTCTAAATTTCTCATTTAATGCCTCACGCTACACATGTATTCTTTAATCAGCACTTAACACATCCTCGATAATCTCCAGGGTATACGTTCCGATAAATCTCCACTATACCCTGGATGCATCTATGGCTTGGGCTGATGATTTTATTACCTCCCTTGGCTGGCTTTTTATCCAATTAGGTGTTTACACTGGGACGTTGAGCGTACCAATCACAACTCACTTTCACTTTTTGAATTATCTAACCGATTAAACTTGGCAACACAATAATATATTGTTGCAGAGGTACTCTGAAAGAGGTAAAAGGAGTTCTTGCATATATATATTTTTTTAAGTTTCAGACCTGTCAATTTGCCTGTATGATTTTCCTTAAAATCTCCGAACAAACTTTCACGCGGCTGCTACTGCTATCTTTCTTGAAACTGGCAAGCTCGGTTGTAACAGTGGCTTATCTGATTGGCTACTGTGAGAATGCGAGCCAGCAAAGGGGGGTAATAAAATTATCGGGCCAAGCCATAGTTGCATCCAGGGTATAGTGGAGATTTATTGTTTATATACAAATATATACAGAAAATAGTAAATGTAAGTTTCTGAAACATTTGCACATAGGTGATATTAGCTGTTAAAAATCGTCAAATTTGTTAAAATTATGCACATTTTTGTCAATATTTGACTATTTAATCTATTCTTTTTATGTTTTTTTATTCATGTCATTCAATAACTTGAACATCTGTCAATGACTGTATCAAAGTTTGTTTAATTATGTTCATAAATAACACTTTTGCCTAAACAAACAACACCTGGTGCAACCCCGCATGTTTGATTCCACTTGGCTGGCATTTGTGAACTTTCGTCATTTGAAAAACATTCCGGTGACTGTGTACATGTTCAGTGTCTTGCTGTCATACCCACAGTTTGCCATTTTCTGTTTTTACTGAGGTGCTGTTTTGGGGGCATGTAAGCATGTTCTTCGCTCGAATTCGACCTGTAGGCACATGCATAGGGTTCAATGTACAGGTGCATCAAATGACGTCATGTATAATGTGAAATTTAACTGTGATTAGATTTTGCATTCTGATGCAATGCCATGGTATTGTAAATGTACACCTCAATGACAGCAACATTGAAATCATGAGCCCCCATATTTTTGCTGATAGTTTAATGAGAATGTTGATTTCAGGCCATGTTGCCGGAACACCTGACGTTGTGCTGAAGGCCCAGGTGTTGGCCGGTGGAAGGGGTAAAGGATCATGGGACAGTGGACTCAAGGGAGGAGTTAAGCTGGTGTTTTCGTAAGGACACACTCTATTATAGACATTATTTCCATGAATGGGTTTTATGAATAGTGTTCTTGTAAGGACACCTATATGATCAATGAAGCAATGTTTTATTATGAATGCATCTTTGTTTATTGTCTATTTGTGATAGGTGAAATACCGTAAACATTATCCTTATTCTACAGTCAACAGAACTTTGTCTTCAGTGTCCGCAGATAACTGTCTGATTTTCAGGAATCTCATTTGCAGTTAAGAAATATATTTAGGGCTCCTTGCCTCTAGGCAGGAGACCTATTGTAATCGTTCGGATTATTATTATTATTATTATTTATTATTCCGCCGATTTTTGTACCAAACATAACTCCTAAACCAATGCTCCGAATCGCTTACCAAAAATCACACAGATGTGCACCGAGGTGTAGATATTCCCCTTAAAAATCTCTAGGCTCTTGGTCCAATAGCAAAAGGGAGATAATTCAAAATTAATTCCAAAATTTCAACGTTTGAAAGCAAATATCTCAAGAACTAATTGCTCCAACACTTCCAAATTTCTTGTACAGATGCACAATCGAATTCCCAACAATTTTGCCTAGACGGGTCAAGTCGCTAAAATGTACAGTTTGGCAGTTATTTTTGTTTTCAGTTTTTGGCCATGTTTTTCAGCAGTTTTCTGAGTAGTTTGCTCCCAAAATGTGCAAATTCTGCACAAAAAGTGCCAGTATGGTAGGTGATGTCTTGGTGATTCCAGAACACTAATTGTTTTGACCGTAGACCCAAGAACAACTGAGATACAGCCTTTTAAAGAGGGAACTATTTCTTCTCCGGAACTTCTTGAAAGGTACATGACCCCCGCGACCCCGGCTGTATTTGGGAGATCCGCTCGCCTGTCAAAACACGTGTTGGACGATGATATCTAGTCCTCAGATACAATAGATAGAAAGTAAAGCCAAGGAGACCTCATCGTTGCCTGCAACTATAATTTTGCTATTATATATGTTTTGCTTTGTTATTTTCAGGGCTGATGAAGCAAAGGATTTGGCATCAAAGATGTTGAACCACAAGCTGTTTACAAAACAGACTGGGAGTGAGGGGAGATTATGCTCCAATGTAATGGTGGCAGAAAGACTGTACTCAAGACGAGAGTTCTACTTTGCCATCACCATGGAGAGAAGTTTTGGGGTATTCTGTCTTTGAAAAAACTGGGGCATGCCAGTGTTCCTAATGCTTTTGTGTGTATGGATTGTGAGTTGAAATTCCCAAGCCTGAGCTAAGTTGGCAATGAACTGGCTTGTCATACTTGGTTGATAGTTTGTAACAGTGGCACTAATCTGAAACAAGCAAACAAATATTCTGTTGTCAATTTGCACATGTCACATGACATGTAAACCATTCTCTGGTTTTGTTTTCTGTTCACCATGTAGATCTGCTCTGTTGTTTGAATCTCTCATGGAAATGTGGAGGATCTGCATTTATGAACTGTAGGATTGAAATGATCTGAAGTTTTGTCTCGATTATTCAATGTGAAGACTTTCCAACTCTATTTCATTTATGCTAAGCTTACTTTGCTACATGAGTTTTCCTCTGAGACCAATGAAGGTTAACTGTTGTGTATTTCCAGGGCCCAGTGCTGGTTGGCAGTTCACAGGGAGGTATGAGTATTGAAGATGTCGCAAAAGACAACCCTGCCGCTATTCTCAAGAGTGCAGTTGATATTTCATCTGGTCTGTCAAAGGAGCAAGCAGTCAAAATGGCAGCAGATATGGGTTTTAGTGACCAGTGTGTTGACGAGGTTAGTCATTCAAAATGTTCAAAGTTAAAATGTGTGGTTTCTGATTGAATATGAGAAATTAATATCCCATATAGTGAAGGTTCTGATGGTGAGATATTGAATCTGTACACCATGTAGATGTGCTGTTACACTGGTTACTATGATTTTTTGTTGGATAAAACTTGATTTTGTTTCATTCTTCTGCAATGAGTACTGGGTGGTAAAATCATAATTTTTCCTTATCCTGACTCATGCTCTTTTGCTTGTCTTCTTCTTCTTGCGAACACAGTGGAACACTTGTATCTCCCAATTGAAGCTCCCTTCAATGTAAAATCACTAATTAGTACTCACCAAAGCTTGTCTCCTTCCCAGCCATTTGCGCGGGAACGAGGGCGCCACCTCTTGCCACATGCCTCACTCTCTCCTTCTTCGCCCAGTGAGCAGGATGTGAGAGCGCCTGTGTCTCCCTACACATTATATCCTTTGTTTATTCTTAGTTATTTACCTCTCATAGGCTTCTATAGAGGTGTAGCTAGTATCCTTCAACATAATGCATTGATATTTATTCGTGTTTGTTCAGTAGATTGCGTTGATGAAAATCTGCACTATTTGTAAATTACGTCTTTCTGCTGCTGACCCGCATTTAATATGCCCTAGTTGTACTACGCCATGCTCTACAGTTTCACGTTGCAATTATTGTACTAATTTATCCAATTCTGCCTTTGATAAATATTTATTTTGCGTCTTGAGACGCGCAGCAGATAGGTCACGTAAACAGATTTTAGCCATGGCTAATACACCGGAGCCCTCACCCTGTCAACTGCTGTCGGACGACCCCCTCCCGTCTGGTGTTCCGCTAGAGTTACCCTCGGAGGAGAGGCGTGGGACGCAGTCCGCTATCTCCAAGAAGCGACCTGCATCCCCGGACATCCCGTCGTCGCAGCCAAAGACTAGGAGGGCTTCCACGTCGTCACAACGCAAACTCCGCACCCCCAAGGCTACAACCACGTCAAAGGGGAAACCAACGAAGTCCAGCAGTACTTTCTCAGCCGAGATTGTTCCCGTTGCAGAGTTGGGCCTGTATGATGACGATCAACCTATCATCATACCAGATTTACGGCGGAAGAAGCGGCCAGTGTCGGCAACTATAACATAAGCGCAGATCAGCACGCAGTCTGAGGCACCTACACTGATGTCACAGAATCTTCCTGAGGGTCCCGTCGCTACCATCGTAGAAAAGGCAGCAACTACTTCAGCGCAGACCGTCCCAGACGACCTGATGAACCGCATAATGAAGTTGATGGAAGATTGCTACGGTCTACAGAGGCCTCTAGAGCCACCTCCACGAAGAGCGGCCCAGCCCGCCTCCACACCTCCACGAAGGGCGACCCAGCCCGCTTACACGCCTCCGCGTAGGGCGACCCAGCCCGCTTACACGCCTCCGCGTAGGGCGACCCAGCCCGCTTACACGTCTCCGTATAGGGCGACCCAGCCCGCTGACAAGCCTCTGGGAAGGGCGACCCAGCCCGCCTCCACGAAGGACTCTGATCCTCAGCATTCACGGAAGGCTTCACGAAGGACGACTACTTCACCTACCTCAGACCTTGATGACCAGAGAGGACGTTCGCGAAGCAAGATCCTCTCATCCCATGACTCCAACTCAGACTCTCAACCTTCACGAAGGTTAAGTGGCTCCAAGTCATCCTCATCTAGAAGATCATCAAGGGATTCACCGAGAGCTTCGCGAAGCTACCAGCTTTCGCCAAGGAAGTCTCCGCGAAGGTCACCTTATAGATGCCACTCGTCAGTCCGTTCACCACGATCACCTGAGTCACTATCGGAGGAGCATCAACACATTATCTGTGACCCGACGTCAGAAGATGAAGATGGTATCGTATTTTCCGACGCAGAAATAAGATACTGGATGGTGAATAGTCTGGAACTATCCTCTCCGTCTAAGAACGAGAACTCAGCCCACACATATCTTATGAAGGAAGATGATGCTGACACAATCACCTTACCTCCGATTGACCCGATAGCAGCGGTGCCAGCTAATCTGGATACAGCCTTTAGTAAAGCCACGAAATCACAGACACCACATGTGCCGCATTTCAACGCTAAGAAGCTCTTTTTACAAGGCACAAGATATCGATGATAACTATAAGATGATCAGTGATGCCAAGTCCAAGACTTACAGAATAGATGACCGCAAGCTAGTCCAGATGGAAACCATGTCAAGGAGGATGTTCTTTGGTCTGAACAGATCAAGAACAGTCAACGAAACTCTGAAAGTTCAGAGACTCTACATCTGAGGACGACAGGATGATTTACTCGGCCCTCCTCATGCAGAAGGACCAGCAGTTCCTAACGGATCACTTGACAGCAGTATCCGCAGCTATAACTATGGCTCTTCGTCAAGGTCTCCTCGCCTCCTGTAATTGGGGTGATAACTTCACCGCATCACTCCACACAGCCCCGTTGTCATCACCGTCAATCTTCGATGGAAACATAGACAAAGTCTCTAAAGAAGTCTCTAAAGACTCAAGAGAGGTACTCATGATAAAGTCTATGGATACGCTAGCAAGCATCATCAGACAAACTTCGCAGAGGTACTCAGGCAAATCGAAGTTCTCCGGTCTACAGAAAGCACGGGACAGGAAGATGGCAAGTGTAAGAGGAGCAAAAGAGGCTCCCGCAACTATAAACGATGAAGGACAGGTTCGGAACGACTGGAGTCTTCCACCCCCAGCCGTTCCAGTACAACCATCACAAGTGGGTGGACGCCTTCAACTGCACTGGGAAAACTGGGGATTCCTAGAGGATCCATATGTCTCCAACATCCTACAGCACGGATATTGAATACAACTACAGGCCACGCCCCCGCTGACAGTCATCCCTCCGAGGTTCGACTTCCAGGCTCTACAACTACCAAAGTTAAGAGAAGCGGTATCAACGCTCCTAACCAAGCAGGCCATAGAAGTACTGGACCAAGTAAACATCAAACCAGGCTTCTACTCCCCAGTTTTCCTAGTGCCCAAGAAAAATTCCAAGGAAAAGTTTCGTCTCATCTACAATATGAGCACGTTCAACAGAGACTATCTACGCAAACCGCCAGCGTTTGCATGATACACCTACCACAACTACGGCACTTAATTCGTCCCAGAGACTACATGGCCAGCATAGATCTGCAAGACGCATATCTACACATCCCAATACATCCCGACTCCAGGAAATACCTTCGGTTTGCACTAGACGGGCAATGGAAAGTACTACCTTCCGGAATCTCATCGGCCCCCTGGTTATTCACAAGAGTGACGAAACCTATCGTCTCTTACCTACATCGTCAAGGACTACGCAGTGCGTTCTACCTGGACGACGGGATACAAGTGGATCCAGATCCACAGCGTCTCAGACTACAGTTAAACTTCATCATCAAGCTACTAACACAGCTAGGATGGTTAGTAAATCTACTCAAGTCGGACCTAGAACCTCACGCCAAGATCTGCAATTTCTGGGCATTCGATTTCTCCGGCGCAGAATCGTATCGTCGTACCGGAGGACCGATGGGTCAAGATCCAACAGACAATCCCTCAAGCCTTACTCTCTCCGCTACCACTACGACAATTGCAGAGCCTGTTGGGTCTACTCACTTCAGCTCAAGACATGACAGTCAGAGGCAGACTACAGCTACGTCCGTTACAGGTCCTCATCAACTCTCATCTCGACGACCCTCAACCATTCAGTCTACCGAATCACGTCAAACCTCACCTACTATGGTGGACCAAGAGATTGAATGTTTGCGATGGAATCTTTTTAATAGAGCCGGAATTGAAAACACATCTCTATGTAGACACGTCGCTCCAAGGTTGGGGAGCACACCTCGCCAACAGGACGGCATCAGGGTTATGGAGCCAACAAGAGAGCAAACTACACATAAACTTGCTAGAAATGCAAGCAGTAGTAAACACCATACATCATTGGAGCAACTTACTAAAGAATGCCCAATTGATGATTCACACAGACAATTCAACAGTGGCGTTTTATGTAAACAAACAAGGCTCAACCAGGTCCCCGAACCTATTGACTCTATGTTTTCAATTGTTCGATCTAATCGACAATCTCAACATACATGTCAGAGCATGTCACATTCCAGGAGCAAAGAATGTAATAGCAGACGCTCTCTCTCGGCCACACCTACCATCACCGACAGAATGGATGCTCCATACAGAAATATTTGCACAAATTATCAAGAAAATAGGAGCTCCACTAATAGACCTATTTGCCACTTTCGCTTCAACAATCAGCTGACAACATTCAGATCACCAGTCCCAGACCCACTAGCATGGGCAACGGACGCGCTAAGCATATCGTGGGAAGGACTCAACGCTGCACGCTGTTCCTGCCACCAGCGTTAATCCCACAGGTGTTACAGAAAATCAAGCAAACTCGAGCCTCCAAATGATTTTGGTCGCCCTACTGGCCAGCGAGCGAACGGTTTCCAACTCTTATTCAAGAAATCGGACAACCAATACTACAACTTCCAAAGCGCTCGAATCTACTAATACATCCTCACACCAAACAAGCGCGGAAAGCCAGAAGCATTCCAACTTCAGGTATGGACTGTATTAAGGCATGTCTAAACAAGAGAGGTTATTCAGCCAGAGCGGCGAAAAGCAGTCACGCTTTGCCTTACGCGCTCCACTCGCAACTTGCGATAACAAGTGGCACAGTTTTGAAAATTATGCTGCAAAGAAAGGATTTACAGCTAGATATGCTACACATCCACAAGTGGCTGACTACTTATGTTACCTACGACAGACTAAACGTCTAAAAGGCTCAACATTATCAACATATCTCGCAGCTTTAAGTCTGGCGTCATAACTATGAGAACGGGTGTCAGGTTGGCGAAGACCCCAGAGTTACTGCCTTACTACGTGCATTCCGATTGGAAGATCAGAAACAGATTTCAAGGCCAGCATGGGATCTAAATATAGTGCTCCAACACCTCACAAGTGAGGCAT